GTGATGGGACTACTTATGTGAGTAAAGTTCTTCATGTGCTTGATTACTGGATTGGAGCCTGTCAGTGTTGAAGCTGTGCTCAGAGAAGAGAGACAAATCAGTGTTATGTATAGTGCATATTTCATGGCAAGGTAATGAAAATACTTAACAGAAAGCAGAATTTGTAGAACAGGTCTGTCACTGCAGATACATCATATCTTTATAAAATCATAGAAATATAGGGCAGGAAGGGACCTTGAGAAGTCATCTAGTCCAGCCCTCTGCTCAGAGGCAGGTCCAAGTAAACTTAGACCATCTTGACAGATGTTTGTCTAACGTATTCTTAAAAACCTCCAAGAATAGGGATTCCACAGCTTTCCTTGGAAGCTTATTCCAGTGCTTAATTATCCTTATAGTTAGAAAATTTTTCCTACTATGCAACCTAAATCTCCCTTGCTGCAGATTAAACCAATTACTTCTTGTCCCACATTCAGCGGACATGGAGAACAATTGATTACTGTCTTCTTTATAACAGCCCTTAATATATTTGAACAGTGTTATCAGGTCCCCCATCCATCTTCTTTTCACAAGACTAAACATGCCCAGTTTTTTTAATCTTTCCTTATAGGTCAAATTTGCGAAATCTTTTATCATTTTTGTTGCTCTCTCCAATTTATCCACATCTTTCCTAAAGTGTGGTGCCCAGAAATGGACATAGTACTCCAGCTGAGGCCTCACCAGTGTCGAGTAGAGCAGACAATTACCTCCCGTGTCTTACATATGACGCTTATGTTAATACATCCCAGAATATTAGCCTTTTTTGCAGCTGTATCACATTGTTGACTCGTATTCAATTTGTGACCCACTATAACCCCCAGATCCTTTTCAGCAGTACTACTGCCTCACCAGTTGTGCATTTGATGATGATATGATCATAAATTTAGTATTAGTATATAAGGATGACAACATATTACAAGGTGCTGCTGGGTATATAGATCTAAGCTTGAATAAAAAAATGGATTATTATTTTCTACGGCTGTCAAGCGATTAAAAAAATTAATCACGATTAATCGTGCGATTAAAACAATTAATCGCGATTAATTGCACTGTTAAACAATAATAGAGTACCATTTATTTAACTTTTTAAATGTTTTCTACATTGTCAAATATATTGAGTTCAATTACAACACACAATACAAAGTGTACGGTGCTCACTTTATTTTTGATTACAAGTACTTGAACTGTAAAAAACAAAAGAAATAGTATTTTTCAATTCACCTAATACAAGTACTGTGGTGCAATCTCTTTATCATAAAAGTTGAGCTTACAAATGCAGAATTATGTACAAAAAAATAACTGCACTCAAAAACAAAACAATGTAAAGCTTTAGAGCCTGCAAGTCCACTCAGTCCTACTACTTGTTCAGCCAATCGCTCAGACAGACAAGTTTGTTTACGTTTGCAGGAGATAATGCTGCCAAATGCTTCTTGTTTACAGTGTCACCTGAAAATGAGAACAGGCATTCTCATGGCACTATTGTAGCCGGCATCGCAAGGTATTTACGTGCCAGATGTGCTAAAGATTCATATGTCCTTTCATGCTTCAACCACCATTCCAGGGGACATGCGTCCATGCTGATGACAGGTTCTGCTCAATAACAGTCCAAAGCAGTGCGGACATGTTAATTTTCATTGTCTGAGTCAGATGCAACCAACAGAAGGTTGATTTTCTTTTTTAGTGGTTCGCGTTCTGTAGTTTCCTCATCGGAGTGTTGCTCTTTTAAGACTTCTGAAAGCATGCTCCATGCCTCATCCTTCTCAGATTTTGGAAGGCACTTCAGATTCTTAAGCCTTGGGTCAAGTACTGTAGCTATTGTGATAGACCCAGGCTAGTTGGGTACAGCAGAATAGCAGAAGGCAGATATACTGGCCACTGGATTAACAGTTTTCTGTTCCCTGACTGACCAGAGCAGGGGCTGCTCCAGGCTAATGAGAACACCTGACTCTAATTAACCTGCAAAAAGTCAGGTGAGGCCATTAAGATAATGTGACCACCTGACTCTAATTAAGGCCCCGTTGATACTATAAAAAGGGCTCACTCCAGTCAGGCAGAGGAGAGCCAGAGGAGAGGAAGTGTGGCTGAAGGGCTGGTTAATGAAGACACCCTCAAGTTATTGATAAGGGAGCCCTAAGGTAAGGGTGAAGAAGGGAGAAGCAGGAGAGCTGTGGGGAAGTGGCCCAGGGAAATGTAGCAACTCTGGCAGTGAAAGGTTGGCTGCCAACAGCTGCTACCATTGGGGTCCCTGGGCCGGAACCCGGAGTAGAGGGTGGGCCCGGGTTCCCTCCAACCCACCACTACAGGAACACCTCCTGGGAGTGGAAGTCAGGCCCCTGTCAGGACAGGAGGCTAAACTGTTCTAAAACAAGCCCCTAGGGACAACAGAGACTGTGGGAGTTCTCTCACCAACCTCCTTGCTGGCTTATGATGAAAAGGGCTCAGTAGACTGTAACCCTGGCCCTAGAGAGAGAAGGGCTAAGTGGAGGGTCACAGTGAGCCACTGAGGCTAGCATATACTGCCTAGAAGTGCAGGACCCACGGGGGCAAGGTCAGAGCTCTGCCACACTATCTTTAGAAATTTCACAGTGGTATCTTGTTTGCATTTTGTCAGATTTGTAGTGAAAGTGTTCTTAATACAAACAACATGTGCTGGGTCATCATCCGAGACTGCTATAACATGAAATATATGGCAGAATGTGAGTAAAACGGTGCAGGAGACATACAATTCTCCCCCAAGGAGTTCAGTCATAAATTTAATTAACGCGTTATTTTTTTTAACGAGCGTCATCAGCATGGAAGCATGTCCTCTGGAATGGTGGCCGAAGCATGAAGGAGCATACGAATGTTTAGCATATCTGGCATGTAAATACCTTGTAATGCCAGCTACAAAAGTGCCATGCAAATACCTGTTCTCATTTTCTGATGCCATTGTAAATAAGTAGAGGGCAGCACTATCTCCTGTAAATGTAAACAAACGTGTTTGTCTTCACAATTGGCTGACCAAGAAGTAGGACTGAGTGGACTTGTAGGCGCTGAAATTTTACTTTGTTTTGTTTTTTAGTGCAGTTATGTAACAAAAAAAAAAATCTATATTTGTAAGTTGCACTTTCACCACACAGAACTTGCACTACAGTACTTGTATGAGGTGAATTAAAAAATACTATTTCTTTTGTTTATCTTTTACAGTGCAAATATTTGTAATCAAGAATAATATACACTTTGATTTCAATTACAACACAGAATACAATATATATATGAAAATGTAGAAAAACATCCAAAATATTTAATAAATTTCAATTGGTATTCTATTGTTTAACAGTGTGATTAAAACTGCGATTAATCGCAATTAATTTTTTAATCATGATTAATTTTTTTGAGTTAATCGCGTGAGTTGACTGCGATTAATAGACAGCCCTATTATTTTCTCAATATATGTGGTCACATAATTAAAGGCTGTGTTGTAGTGTGTTTTTTGCATTTCCTGGCTTGAGTGCTTCACTATGCAAACTTAATGGTCTGTTAACGTTGGTTTTTTTGCATGGATTTCTATCTTTTGTGTGGACAGTTCCTTTACACAATTATTGGTGCTCTTATGCCAGTTTATGAACATGCACAGCTAATGTGAAACCAGTTTTAAAACACCAAGCAAACCCAGAATACTCCACATGCTCCAGGGGAGTCCGCTTAGTGTAGGTTTTTCAGATAACATGGGAAAGCTAACACAGTATCTATGTTATAGGAAGTCTTGATATCATTATCCCACTTGTGTTGTAGAGTCATGCCGTGAGGCATTGCATTGCCGAGTGTGAGAATTGTTGCTGTCTAGAAAGGAATAGAGCATTCAGGTCAGAGTTTGTAGTTCACAGACATTATCTATAATGAAAGAAGTCTGAGAGAATACTGTATGCTAGAGCAATGGTTCTCAACCAGCAGTACGCGTATCCCTGGGGGCATGCAGAGGTCTTCCAGGGGATACATCAACTCATCTAGATATTTGCCTAGTTTTACAACAGGCGACATAAAAAGCACTAGTGAAATTAGTACAAACTAAAATTTAATACAATGAGTTGTTTATTCTGCTCTATATACTATACACTGAAATGTAAATCTATATACTATACACTGAAATGTAAGTACAATATTTATATTCCAATTGATTTATTTTATAATTATGTGGTAAAAATGAGGAAGTAAGCAATTTTTCAGTAACAGCATGCTGTGACACTTTTATATTTTTATGTCTGATTTTGTAAGCACGTAGTTTTTAAGTGAGGTGAAACTTGGGGTTATGCAAGACAAGTCAGACTCCAGAAAGGGGTACAGTAGTCTGGAAACGTTGAGAGCCACTATGCTAGAGTAATCTCTGACATACCAGTTAAATAGTGTGTAAATAGCTGCAGGCTCAGATACTGTAACATTCAGGAGATTTAAGATTGATTGATTACCCTGTAAAAAGATAGCAGCTCTGTGTTTCATGTTATGGTTAATTATATCACAGTTGATGGCGTCATACTATGTGCGTGTATAACTGAGAAATGTGCCTATTAGACAAACACTAGGTGCTAGCCGGTTCCAGTTGCTTGTCCCATGCCATTCATTTAAGCGGCAAAAAATGTAAAAGTATATAGTTACCGTTAATTTCATTGGGGGTTTGTTAACTTCTGTGTATCTAATCCTTACTTTTACAGCCTTTTATTACATTAAAGGAGTATCATTACCTCATGATTCTTGCCCATAAACAGCTAAACAGTACTTGACATTTAAAGAGATTTTCTGTTGTGCACTTGTATAGTCAAAGAGTAATACTAATCCTATTAAAGATATTATGTCATGGAGGCATGCCTTGGGGGAAGGCTTGTTCTAATTGGCTAGATGTAAAGTAAAGGGGAGGGGCTATCCAGAGAGTGGATGTATTACTTGATAGTTAGGTCAGGGATTTCTGTGGGAAATGCCCAGTGGTTGCAGTTGCTGATGATTTCACATCAACAGCAGTGCAACACTGAGAGTGAGCTCCAATAGCTGATTACTGAATGAGATACTGCAAACGGGTAAAAAAAAAAAAAAAACGAACAGCATGTGAGAAGCAGTCAGAGTGAGGCAGAGAAGAGAGCTGAGAGAGCAAGAAAAGTGCTCAGGCTGGAGAAAGTCTTCCAGATGTACTGGACTGCCCTTTTGGAAATGGATATAAGGACCATCTGCTGTCTTAGATCAGAGGACTAAGAGTGGGAAGAAAGAGTTTATGGTATTTTAAATAAAAAGCGAAGTTATTCATAACCAATTCGTCAAGACGTCATGAGATTGTTCCTGCCTGGGATGCTGGTGCATAAATCAAAGCTGCAGATACCTATTGTACAGCTTACTTTGGTATAAAAAAGAAAAAGGAAAAAAAAGCAGCAATGCAGGGAATAGTGCAATAAATTCTACAGTGGTTATGTGGTTTGTTTATTAAGATAAAGAAAAATCATCCTTGTATGACTGTGGAGTTCACAAGGCACTGTGTTTAATGCTGAGAGATGCTAGACATTAAATCTGACAACTGTGAAAAGAGAGATCATGGAGAAGTCAAGTAGTGAGGATTCTTCAATTCACCGTAGTCCATCTTTGGATAGCAAGGACTCGGACTTTGCTAAACCTTCTACCTCAGGCAGGCAGTTTGGTCGAGGTTTTACTGCTGGAGCTTTTTACGGCACTGCTGGATCACGCACACAGAGCCACACCAGGGCTGGAACAGGGACCGGCATTGGAACTGGGACTGGCATAAAAAGTGACAAATACAATGCACCCAAAGGCAGCAAATATGTTGTGTTTTACCTGGATCTATCTTTTGTTTTCCTTTTAGAATTTAAGAAGTGCAACATGGCAAGAGGCTGCCTGTGTTGTTTGAAATACATGATGTTCCTTTTCAATTTAATGTTTTGGGTGAGTACTGCCTTTTTTTCAATTGCCTTCATTTGTTAGAGTTCTCTGTACTACTGCATTATGTGCATAGTGCATCTTTTCAGCACTACTGTAAGCTTTTTTTTCTTCCCCTCTCTTGTACCTGCATGGAATATTTACAGTGCTAAATCTGTGCCCTATGGGAAAATGTACGTTTCCTACAGATTTTACCTTCCCATTACTCTACTTTGATTACAGATTATTAAAACTGGAGTCTTTTAATTCATGTGTTTTGACCAGGATAAATTAAAGAAGGGCAGGACCTATTTACCATTTAAAACGATCCAAATCAGTTTTTAGTGGAATTTTTTACATTCTTTTATAATGCCTTGTGCTGCTTTAAGTTGCAGGTTAATTTAAACCTGAATTATGTTTTTGTTGTCCCCATCAATCTTCCCTACTTTTCTAATGTAATTGACAAACTGCTTTTCAAACTGAATGAAGTTTAGTCTCATTTTTTCCACCTTTTAAAAATATACATATATTCTAGTCCTTAAGGTGTCAGCACAAATGTAAAATGACTGGAATGACAAATGACTCCTGATTCAGTTTCAGTTGCAGTTGTCCAAATTGGTGTGTTAAGTTGGAGACTAGCTCTTGCTTTTGAGGGATCAAAATTGATTTTCCTCTATCAGCCAGGGAGCATGAGGAGATGTAACAATGCTTCAGCAAGCAGATTCAAAGTGTAACAACTACTTTGAGCAAACTAATGTCATGTACACTTGGAAAACAAGGGTGTGAAGTCAGCCAGCTACTAGGCATCCCCGTTTGGACAATATTGGGGGGGAAATGCAAGCAAATTGAAATGTCAAGTAGGTTTCAATAGAGCACAGTACAAAATTGTTTTATCAGAATTAAAGGTCAGCAGTTTTGTGATGATTAGGAAAAGCAATTATAATATTAATGTCTTTGAACTTAAAAAAATTCAAGGTTATAATTCAGAAATAAAAAACATACCTCAGAGGTAAATGAAAATGTAGTTTTGTTGGTTTATTTTTAAGGTAGAAGGATATTAAAAGTCCAGTTTGGATAGATATTTCTTCAGTGGAGAAGTCAACATTGAAATTAAGAGCTGTGTCTCTGCCTTAGCCACCGGCTTTTCTGTTTAGCTGACCCACTTACTGAAATAACTTTTAGCAGCCGAAGGGAATGGGAGACCTCATAGGGCACTGGACGACTCATGCACCAGTGAGCTTCAGTAGTAATGTACTGAAACATTTCCATCATGGAAGGTGTGGGAATCTGACAGAGAATCTTCTGAGCAGGTTTCACAGAAGGTTGGGGCTGCAAGGGGTCACTCAAGAACATCATTCATGATTTTTCACTACATGAATCCTACCAGAAATTTGCCTCACTTCTTTCTGGAATCCCTATTAAGATATAAACTTGTTACCAGACTGGGCCATTCAGGCCAATGCTGCATTACTCTGACTCCTTAGAAATATTTTCCTATGCTAAGTATTGCCATTAGTTTTTAGTAAATGGGACACTGAATGGGGAGGGTTCTGAGTTACTACAGAGAATTCTTTCCCAGGTGTCTGGCTGGTGGGTCTTGCCCATATGCTCAGGATCTAACTGATCAGCATATTTGGGGTTGGGAAGGAATTTTCTCCTAAGTCAGACTGGTAGAGACCCTGGGGGGTTTTCGCCTTCCTTTGCCGCCTGTGGCGTGGGTCACTTGCAGGTTAAACTAGTGTAAATGATGGAGTCTCTGTAACTTGAAGTCTTTAAATCATGATATGTGGACTTCAGTAACTCAGCCAGAGGTTAGGGGTCTATTACAGGAGTGGGTGAGTGAGGTTCTGTGGCCTGCAATGTGCAGGACATCACACTAGATGATCATGATGGTCCCTTCTGACCTTAAAGTCTATGAGTCTGAGTACATTACTCCTGGTCTTATTGCTCTTGTTCTGTGTGATCAGTCCTTAGGTATCCCTCCAAACTTCACACAGTATAATGGTATTAGATCTTTATTTCATCTCCTTCCCAAGTAACATTTTTCTAGGTTGTCCATAGTTAGGTCTTAAAACTCTGTTGTTGTATCTTTTTAGTTGCTCTCCTTGCTATTTCCCCCCGCAACTTTCCAGTGACCCTTTTTGTGTGGTCCCTTCATGAACTCACTCCATCCTTCTCTCTCTGCTCAACTTTCTGATTCCCCTTCTCATCCACCACTGGGCTCTTCTCTGTCTCTCCATAAAGTCTCATCATTGCTGGGGCCAAGACTTGCTCTGCAGCTCCTACTACCTGGGACAGCCTTCCTGTACCTCTGCACCTCATCATCTCTCCCTCTCATCTGAACTCTTGCCTGAAAATCTTTCTCTTCTTCCTTGGTTTACACCATTTTTCTTTTTCTTTTCTTATTAATCTTTGTCTCTGTATTCATCATGGTAACTCTGTCAATTGTTCTGAGATGCTCTTTGTCTGAGCCTGACTACTCAGAATGTAAACGTTGGTGTAGAATGATGAATCTGTGGGATTTTAGAGAAGTGCTGAATACAAACCAGCAGGTTTTCAAAGTTGTTTGCAACAGGAGTTGGCTCCATTTGTGTTGTAGAAACTGTTCAAAAGCTCCCCCTTTTTACAAAAACATCAGTTGTGTCAGACTGAAGCTCTGAGACTCTTGTGCGTCCATCTATTATTTTCAGTGGGCTGCGGTACCACTGAATGCTACTATTGAGTGTTGATTATTTTTAACCAGAATGTTTCATCCTTTTGTGCTTTGCTGCACTCAGATGAAAGTTGTGTATATTTTGTAAAGTTCTGGGTCAGTTAGATAAAGGATGCTATGGGCAGGTATCTGCCCGATTTTGACGTTGCACATTGGTCTTGATCTGACCTACCGTGTTAGGTGTCTTGGGTGCCATCCCAGCTTTGCCAATGTTCCTTAACACTGATCTTCAGCAACCTCTGCTGTTCCAGCCCTGGGCTCCCCACACAGCTCTGCCAATGCCCTTCAATCCCCCCCGGCAGCCCCCTTGCTATTTCAAGCCTCTCCTACCAGATCTGTCAATGCACCTCCGTCCTGCCCTAAGACACACCCTATTACTGCAGTTCAAAACTCTTGTCCCCCCAACTCTGCCAGTGCATTTAATTTTGAAACTATAACAGCCCCTGCTGCTGCAGTTATATGTCCCCACACAGCTCTGCCAATACACAGTCTAAACCCATGAAGTTCTGGGCTTTTCATGAGCAGTGGCTGCCAACTCGTTCAAGACTGTTGTGGTGGCTTTGTGATGTGGAGTGTTTTCCTCAAAGGGCTCATTGTAGACCACCAAACCAGACTGATCCTGTGACTTAACCTAAAATGTGAATCCGAGTCTCCAGAGATGGAAGGTGTACACCTTAAATCAATATCCTCTCTCCTGGCAAGTGGAAGAGACAATATTTCATGAGTTTATTTGGATAAGTCTAAATTGAAACTGACAAATTATGTTTCAGGGAGCCTGCAATCAGGTGCCAGTCTACCCGCTGTCTGTTGAATTATCCTATTAATGAGTACTACAACATATGAATTTGTATGGCATGCTGTTGTGGTTCTGCAGTGCAGAAAACCTGTTTGATTTTTCTGTGTACTAAGCATTATCAACAAAATGCAGTAGATAGGGGTTATTTAGAAGTCAGTGGTACTTCATCCCTGTATGTTTCGCAAGTGATATCTTTTGGGGTCTCTCGTCCTACACACCATCTTCAAATGCTGGGTCCTTCTAGCTAAGGAGCGCTGGGCAGTGTTCCCTTTTAAGTCCCATCAGTCCTGCTCTTGAGCAGTCACCCAGAAAATGAGGCCAGTGGCTCCTCTTTCGCCATTCAGAGCCTGGCAACGAGGGGCCAAGCCTGAGACCTAGCTAATCTGAGATCCCCCCATCTGGCAGCCAGTTGTGCTGCCCCTAAACCACTGGCCTGGCTCAAAGGTTACCCATCTGAAGATGCTACAGATGCAATGGTTAGAATACAGTTTGCACTGTCACATACCTAAATGTACCATCTCTGTGTTGGCCTTGGTGAACAGGTGGTACATTGTTTCTGCAGATGATCATTTCAATCGCCACACCAAGAATTGTGTTAAATGTATAGCATCTTAGTCATCTATACCCTTGACAAGAAAATGCACTTCTTAATTTAGTACCAGGTGGACTAACTAGCCTATAATGTGGGATGCATCAATTGCTTTGAAAAAGATGCATCCTGCTCTATATGGGCATATCAGTAGTAACTTGAAACAGAAGGTATTTTTCACTATATTGCTAAGAACTTCAGGTATTTTCCGTGGCCCTATGTGGTTCTTAGCAGTTGTTCTCGGCCATCTGGCTTTGCTTTCTTTTGGAGATTAGAAAAGTCTGAGCTGAGGGTTAAGGAAGCTTATAGTATTTAATTGTGTGGCTAGGATGGTGATTTATACTGAATTCATCTTAAGTGCATAATATCTTTGACAAAAAGTCTGTGCATGTACGTATATTAGTTGATTCAGTTTGCCTTCCAGAGCATTTATGTGCAAATGAATCAAGTTTGCAAAGTGGCCAATACAGGCTCATAGAAGAAATCAAATATTGATTTTTGTTTATACAGATAGCAGCTTAATTAGTAAGAAAGAAAACTGCTAAATATAAAGATTGGATATGGGTTAATACAAAATATTTAACTTCAGTGCGTTATCCAGAAAGAGAGAGTGTTACAACAACTGTTTATAGAACATACTGCAAAGTCTTTAATAAGTCGTTATGAATAGAACAGTAAACTTTCAAAAATAAATGGAAGTTCACTTTTCCTATTTAAGCGAGGGAAATTTTGAAGTGGTAAGAATATTTGATCAGAGTTACAGTTGACAACTTTGCATATGGAGTTTGGTGCATGGATAAATGTTAGGTTGCCCTATTCATTTAAGTAAGGGCAATTAGTCCCAAATGGTCCATATATTTTGGAATGTTCAGAATATAAATTTTGATAGATTTTAGCATAGCTTATTGGTTTACATTTGCTAATGTGAT